TCACACCTCTGCTGCCAAGCAGTAGACAGATCGCTGTGCAGTTCGGCATCCTCTGCGGCACCCCTTTAAACCGGCCTCTCACACCTGCCCTCTTCGGCACAGTCTGATTCTAAAGCCCTGTCACAGATTTGCTTTTTCCAGGAGGAAGGACTGGTTCTGAATAACAAAACTTGAAATTACAAGTTGATTTCCATTGTATCCTAGGAACTGAGACTGGCCTGGAAAGGCAGCTCAGCAGTTAAGAGTGGTTACTGCTCTTGCAAAGGATGTTGGTTTGGTTTACAACACCCTTGTGGTTGGTGGCTTACAACCTGCCTGTAACTCCAGTTCCAGGGGATCTCATGCCCTCCTCTGACCTCCACAGGCACTTCACTCAAGTGTTCAAGCCCACACTCAACACACACACACACACACACACACACACACACACACACACACACACACACACTGAAAATAAAATCTTTTTAAAAACAATGAAAGGGTTTTAGAAGTCTGAGACTCTGGGTCTAGGTAGAACAGAGTTAGTAGACGACAGCCTGTGGCCTTAGTACAGCTTGACGCTTGGTTTTGTAAATAAGAAAAAAGTGTGTCTTTTGTGTTGTATGTTTTGTGGTGACTTTATGCTAAAATGATAGACCTGAATGTTACATCATAAGAGTATCTGTAGTTGGCAGTGTGACCTGGGAGAATAGAGCAGATAAATGAGGTGGACTAAAGTCTCATGCAATAGTCATCTTGATTCAGAGCATCAGACAGTTTATACTCTGAGGTGAAGAGGAGTCACATGAATAAAGTGTCCAATCACAAGGACAGGCTGCATGTGTTTTCCCATAGAGACATATAAACAAATAACAATAGCCAGTTGTAATGACTAATCTGAAGTAAACTCACTCCTGTCCGCTACTCCTGGGAGGGACACACAAGCACATTCGTGTGTTTGAAGAAACTAAGATCACAAAACTCTCATCTTATTTTCTTGGAGTTTTCTTACAAGCACTGAGAACTCCTCTCGAGCAGCTCCATTCTTGGACTGTGTTCTGACAAAAGAGTGTCTGGAACCCAAAGCCTAAGATGTTTATTCTCCTCATAGAGAAAGTTGCTGGCACCGGTGTCCAGAGAAACAAGCCCTTCCTTCGTTAGTCTATCAGCAGCAGAAGTGAGTTGTTTCTGTCTGGGTGAAAACCCGAGTTACCTAGGAGACTTTGAATCATTACTCATGGAAATCAGTAGATGCCATCCAAGAAGTCAGAGCCGATCCTAAAAGCCTTCTCTCTTAAAAGTATAATACAGCCATGGAGAGATGGAACATGATACTTATCAGACCAGAAGCGTTAGTACTGTTTGAGAGGGTGTGGTCCCCCAGTAGTCTTCTAAATCCTAAATCCATCTACACATCTACCCTCCATTTATCTCAGCTCCTGTAGCCCTGTCTGCCTTAAGATAAGAGTAACACTTCCTAAGTGGGGGAGGCTCCAGGAAGCATTGTATCAGGTTCAGGCTTGGAGGACCAGAAGGAAGAAGAGGCTTGAAATCGAAGGAGAAGGATCTAGGGAAGCAGAGCAGCTCTTGTTCCTTGTTCCTGGAGGAGTGGAGAGAGATCTGCCCTAGCAGCCTCCTCCTTCCAAAGCGTGCATGTGTCTAGAGCAAGCGCCAAGGATGCCGTAGGAGTTTCGAAGGTGAGAGTCTGTGCTTAAAATTCTCAGCGTGTTGTGCACCGTGTGTTGAGTGTCCTACAGATGAAAGAAGATGGAGCGTCCCCTTTACTGCCCCATGTCTGGAAGTGTCATGCCAATGATATTTAGAATGTCCACTCTGCCATTTCTGGCTCCAGTCCTTAGACATTAGGTCTCCGTTGTTCGTGGATCACATTCTGCGCTACGGTTACTGTACAACTTTCCTGTTCAGGAAAGATTTTATATCTTTTGTTAGCAGTAACATTAATTGTTAAATAGTCATCGGTGAAAATGCTGGGTGCCTCAACTTATCTTTTGTCCTTAGAGATTGCCTTGTGGATGATAATATTTTTTTACAAATTAGAAATACCAGCTTTAGTGTTTATTTGGTCATAAATTGATTTGTTTTTCTTCTTAACTAATGACTGAACCATTTAAACATGGTTAATTATGAAATGGAGAGGGCATACTACACAGATGCTCAGCTTTTTTCCTGCAGTTTGAGGGTTTTTAATTGCTAGATATTAAATGGATTCATAAGAACATTTTGAGTTTAAAATTCATTTGAATATTTTGTGATAAACGATGGCAGTGTACAGTTGTGTCTCGGTTTGGGGAATAGACTGCCCTTGGCTAGATTGTCGAGTTAGTGTATTGAAGTGTCAGTGACTCTTTCACGAGTGTTTTCAGTACACTTGCCCTGGAGTGTTGATTTTGTGAATGAAGTCCAGTGCCGGCAGAGGCTGTCTGTTGCTCTGGGAAGAGGTGAAGGCGTGCAGGGGAGTGCTGCTGTGTACGCCAGCCTGGTTTCCCTGGGTGTGCTGAGATGCAGACCATGTGACTCCGGCCCTAAACTTCTCCAGAAGAGTTAGTACTGTTGGAGTCATGCCTGTCTGCTTGCTGGTCTTGTTTCTGAGACATGATTTATGTTTCTGTTTAAATGTCTTTTTATTGCTTTAATTTTTTTGAATTAAAATTCAATTACATCATTTCTTCCTTTCTATTTCCTCCTTCTAACCGCTGGCATGTATCCCCACCCCACCACCCCTTTCAAATTCATGGCTTCTGGCTTCTTTTCCTTTAATTGTTGTTACATACATATTTATATATTCCTAAATAAATTTTATTTTTAAATCACTTTTAAATTCATGTTCTTCACTGTTGCATTTGACATTTACAAAGATAGTATCTTTGTTGATTGGCTGTGTAGAAATACTATTTTAAATATACAGAGACAGAACACATTGCTGAAATCCTGTGTAAACTTAAATATTCAGAAAACCCTGCAGTAATCTGAACTGTTGAATACAAATTAACTGATTTCTGAAATATGTACAAATTGTGGCTTGTGACAGTCAGTGTATACATTCCTCTCTTGTTGAATGTCACACTCAATCACTTGTTTCTCTACCGTACCTCAGGGGAATTTTCAGGAACCTTTAAGAAGTTCTCAGATGGACAGCTTTAGCATCTCGGGTTTGGCCACTGGTGTGGTTGTTTATACTCAGGACCGACTGAAAGGGGAGAGAAAGCAGCCCTGGGCAGTCCATGTACTTCATAACCCTCCCTTGCAAATAAGACTAGACTAAGAGTCTCTCTTTTTGTGTTTGCTGTCATAGTTACAGCACTGGAACTGGTCCTTGTCACCATAGCCCCCTTTGTGGTGCATTGAGGAGTTCTTCCCTTTCTGTTTCTGTTGAAATGAGTATTTCAGAGAATTGTTTTCCTGGCTTACGTTAGTGTATTATTCTGACAGACAATACAGTATTAAATTTCTACATACTTTTATCTAGTGGCCAATAGAATGTAATCAAGCATTTATATTTACTAGAGTATTGTATTTGGGATGGAGTCCTGTTAAAAATGAAGTGATAGCCAAAATGTTCTGTAAGTCTTTAATTATAATATCAGTATATTAGGAGGTCTTTTGTTACTTAAAAGTCCTTGTAATTTAGTATTTTCATTTTGGACATAGAAAAATCTGATTTTTCACCCTGGCATTAAGTTGAAATATTCCCTTTAAGAGTCTTGATATCAGGTAACAGAAATCAGAACTCACTGTATAATATTTATATGTATATATGAAATTGTGAAAGACCAAATTCAATTTAAATTTTTTAAAGATTGCTCATATTTAAGACTAGAATGTAGCAGAATTATTCTGGTGCTTATCTGGTGTGCACAAAGCCCTGGGTTAGATCCCCAGCACTTCATAAACTGGGAATAGAGGCACACACACTCTGAAGGTAGAGAGAATGAGAAGTTCCAGGTCATCCTTGAGTAGATAGGGAGTTCAAGGCATGCTAGATGAGACAGTGGAGTCTCCTCAATTCCAGCTTCTAAAACAAACTCCTGTAAATTCTCAAAACGTGAACAAAACCATGGAGTTGCTGAAGTATATGCCTTATCTCACTGGTTTTTAGCCATTCACATTTGTTTATATGATTTATTTATATGCCCTCCCCATCATCACCTCCATAGATCCTCGAGAAGGTCTTTCAAGCAGTGTCTCAGTTTTAAAATCCCATTATTAGAAACTATTTTATATAATGGTGTTTGTTTTGAGACAACTGGGCTTTTGTGCTATTATTTTCTTGTTTTTTTTTCATTTTATGTATTTATATTTTTTATTAGTTTTATTTCATCTTATTCCTTTTTCCTTGTTCTTTTCAAAGATGGAAAGGCAGACTGTTGGAGACAGGGCCACGGTTGTAGGTGGAGGGCATTGCAGCAGGGCCTTGTTGGGAAGCGGGGAGGGGATTGAGCGCAGTCCCCTAGAACTAGGTTTTTATCCCTGTACATTTTAGTCAGTTTAATTTTTAAACCTCTTAGATTCCATAGAGTATTTGGTTTTAACAATTGTAATTCCTAAATACCTATACGACTCTTATGGTAACATTGTATAACTAATGATGTTTATTAAATAGTTTAGTTAGCACCAACATTATTTAACTTACTTTGAGTCGTTTTGATTTTTTGTTTCTTCTGAACAAAATAAAAATAACCCTTTTATTGTCATGAAGTTTGAACTGCCTCAAACTTTATAAGTTGCTTTGCATAAGACCACTGGGGCCAGGTGGTTTCTGAACGTTAAATCAACATGATTGCTTCAATTGGGAAGGAAAAAGAAAGCTAAGTCTCCCCCTTTTAATACTTGATTACATGCGCTGCCATTTTGCCACCTATCATTCTGAACTGCATGGAGATAATTGTGTTAAAATGGCTTGTAGAATTTCTATAATGTACAAAGTTAGGAAGCGTAGTATATCATAAAGGAAAACTTCTGGCTCTCCTAGTGACTCTTTTCAAAACTTGTTCATTTGCTAGGGAAGTTGTCATCTACGCTGTATGAGACTGGTGGCTGTGACATGTCACTTGTGAACTTCGAACCAGCAGCAAGAAGAGCGTCCAATATCTGGTAGGTGTGGAGGGAGACGTCAGCAGTGTGTGTGACTTACAGGTTTAAAGGTTTAGTTGTCGAGGTATAGAAGCTTGTTTTAAAATGTATTTTTTTCTAATGGACAAAAACACTATATACACTGCTGGTATACACCATGTTTTAGAATATTGTACACACTGTAGAATGGCTATACCTGCTGCTTATATAGGTTATCTTATTTTAAAAACACATCTACTCTGACTCATTTTCTGATATACAGTAAATTATTACTAACTGTAAGCCGCCATGTGAGATAAAAATTATTTTGAAAATGTTTATATTGAGTCTAAGGTTTATAATGCTTTTGTTTCCATAGAATGAATGATGTTTTTTTGTTGTTGTTGTTTTGTTGTGGGGGGAAAAAGCACTATTTTTAAAATGTAAGTTTTTCTATATTTAAAAATTAAGTAAAAATTTTCATTAAACCTTATGGGACAGAAGTAACTAGATGTCTGATGTTTCTGCTATATTGCATGATATAAAAAGCTTATCAGAAAAACAGTTACAATGAAGGTCAGGCTCAAAAATTAGTTTTCTTCCATTAAATAATTTTCAGTTTTTATTTTTTTTTCAGGAAGGAATTTGCAAGGTAATAAAAATGTTAGGAGAAGACAAATAAATTAGATATTTGAATCTTTTCTAGTATAGAGTAATTGATTTTTTTTCCTAGAAAATTAATCTTATTCCCATTGTTGCTTTGAAATCCCAGTGGCCATTTGATTCTTAGTGTAGGCCTTCCATTTAATAATGGGCCGTATGTACATGTTGTGTAAGCTCGGGTGGTTCGCTTTTTTCAAGTGCCTTTCAAAGCAATGGAACCTTACAGTCACTCAGTTGAGCTGCTGAGTCTGTGAAAGTGGAAAAGTGGGGTTGGGAGTTGAGTGGAAACCTTGGTTACCACCCAGTAGTTCAGCAGAAGAGCATCCCATGTGCTGGAAATGTGGCAGAGCCTCGAGGTTTGAAATCCAAACTTGACTGCATTGGCATGTGCCAGGCTGGTTCATGTTACAGATGAGGTTTGTTTGTCTGCACTGCTCCAGTCACTTGAATTGCTTTCCTTGGGTTACCTCGTGTAGACAGATTATAAGACCCCTGTGATGGAGGCACTGTTGTTTGATGTTACTGATGAGGAAACTGAGGCTTGAAGATTTCAGTCAGCTGGAGAGGCCCTCTGAACTTGGGTGCTGACACAGTGCTCCGGATCACATCTTAGGAAAATAATGATTTGTATTTTGGTTTGTATTTATGTGAAAGAATGAAGACAGTATAATTATTGCCTAATTGTTGACTAACAAACAAACAAAAGCATTGTTTAACAAGCTCTTTACTCCCTAAAGTCTTTTTCATTTTCTTTTAGTGACACAGATTCTCATGTATCAAGTTCTACCTCAGTTCGATTTTATCCACATGATGTGGTAAGCTTTCTCATTTTTTATAATGTGGTACAGTTTTAGATTGAATCTGAAAAGTATATCTATATGGCTAGCCATAAAAATCACTCAAATTAGTGAAATCACAAAACGCTACTTTTGTTGGAAACTATGGCAAAGCCCCTTAGTTTTGTTGCCATGGACCTTACATACTCAGACTTTAGTTAGCCGTATGTATGTGTGGGTCAGAAGTTACTCGGCTTATATTTTGCAGGTCTGAAAAGGCCCACTTACCGTTGTATAATCTGGTTGTACCATACCTTTTCTTTTGTCTTTTTTTGTTTTGCTTTTACATTTGTTTATTTTGTGTGTGGACTTGTGTGTGCCTGAGAACATGTGCACATTTGGAGGTCGGAGCACATTTAAGGGAGTAGGTCCTGGAGATCAAACTTGGGTATTCAGGCTTGGCAGCAAATCCTTAGCCCGCAGAGCCATCTCTTGAACTCAGCAATCTCACTTTGAATAATATGATTTGGTGTTGTGTTTTAACTATCTGTTGATTATTGGCTCACTTATTAACTAGGGTATGTGTTGTTGGAAAACTGAGTAACGTGATTATATGAAAATGTATGGGACAAAATGAGGATTTTTAAAACATGGCTTTTGCTGTCAAGTTGGAAAACGAAAGGGATGAGATCCTCATTAGCAACGTGGATGGACTTTATCTGAGGCTTTCTGTCCAGTGGCAGCTTAAAGATGAATTGTGAGCATGGTTTTAAGGCTGGGGCTGTGAGGTGGCGCAGAGCAGCAGTTTGCAGCCAGTGGATGTTTGGCTGTGTCTGGAAACATTTGACTTGACACAACTGGAGGAATGCCATTGGAGACAGTAGACAGGGACCAGGGATGCTGCGAGGACATTCTGTAGTGGTTGCTACAGCCCCCATAAGGAAGATTTTCTAGCCCAAACACCTATAGTGCCAGAATTGAGAAACGCTAGAATAGATGATAAGAAAGTGTATGGAGAAGTATCAGTCAGTATTTAAAGATCAAAACCAGCAATTTTTCTCAGCTCTTCCATGTGTGTTTGAATAGTCATAGCCGGAGTGGAAAGATGATCATACTGTTGTTTCCCACTCTCAAGTAGTGAGACAGCAAAGTCCTGCCCTGTGCTGTGCCAAGGCCAGTAAACATTTGATGTTTTCACAGGGAAGGGCAACTGTAGGACTGGTGAGTAGAAGAGTTAAAATCAACAAGTAGAGGTAGTGCTTTGCTCCATAGGTTCAGGTGGGAGCCTGCTACCCAGAGGAGCGTAGACCAGTGATACCAGCAGTGAGACTGGCTGGAGGAAGACATGGGGGCTAAAAGGCTCAGATCTGCCCCTGGCAGTACAGGTCATAGCTTATGAGGAAGGGCTTGGGGGGGGGGGATGGAGGAGGGAGGCCCAGCGACAATGCACAGCAGGGTTAGTGGTCTCAGCAGCTGTACTCACACCTTTCAGACACCTGTCCTAAAGGTCTGTGATGGAGCTTGCTCTGTTTTGACTTGCTTCCTGTTGCCACCTTCTGCAGACCCTAGGTGTCATGGGCTTTTCACAGGGAGTGAACTACAATAAAGAATTAGGGGCTTAAGTGATTTACAAGCTGACAAACTCTGAGGCCTGATTTGATCAAGAATATTTAACCCTTTCAGTGCCGGCATGTTTCTAGTTTTCTCTCCCACAGATTCGGTTGAACAGACTGTTGACCATTGACACAGATCTGCTGGAGCAGCAGGACATTGATCTCAGCCCCGACTTGGCAGCCACTTACGGCCCCACCGAAGAAGCTGCCCAAAAAGTTAAACATTATTACCGCTTTTGGATCCTACCCCAGCTGTGGATTGGCATTAACTTTGACAGGCTCACTCTTTTGGCACTGTTTGATAGGTAAGACCATAGCATGCATGGTATTAAAGATAGGAAGATACTGTTTTTAAGCCGAATTTTCCCTAATTACCCATTGATGTTTTCACCTGAGTGTCATGTTGGAAAATGCTTTCTATTTTCATACTCTTGAGATCAAACTTAGAGTAACAGAGTTTTTTAATATTTACTCTCTTAAGCCATTAAAACCCTTTCCCCCTATAATCCTAAGATGTTTCTATAAGGATTTGTTTTTATTATTAGTGTGAGTCATGCAGTTGATTCTTTAAAGAGAACGCGCAGTCTATTATGATCTTGAGGTCATAGGTAATACGGAGGAGGAACCCTGCTGCTCTGTTGTTTAGCATCATGTCTTAGTGGTAAACATACTGGTTTGTTACAAACCTGGCGACCAGTAGCTGTTTCCAGTCAGTAAGTAGAAACAATACTGGATTTACCATCCCTATGAAACAGAGACACGTCAGTGGATGCCAGTGAGGCTGGAAAGGGGCAGATCAGTGGTGTGCACACTAAGTCTCCACCGCTTGGTGTGTTAAGCATTCTTAGTTTTGTGGCGCAGGGAGGGGAACACAGAATTCAGTGCATGCCTTGAGTTAAAGAGACGAAACTGGAGGTCCTGGAGTCCATAGTGCAAAATATCACAGAAGGGAGCTGGTGAGAGACCAGTGGAGACCCTAGCAGGCTTCCTTGTGCTCAGCAGACTACGATTGCTCAAGTATCTGAAGAGCTGTCTGCTTAGGAATACCTTGCTTTAAATGTGTGGCAGCGTCAGCCTCCTGTACCACACTTCAGACCCGCCAAACAAGTCATAAAAGCAAGACCTAAAGGGATCACAAGTAGCATAACATATTCAAGATTTATAGAGACCCAGAAATGCATACCTCCCAACAAGTAGTGACTGACACCTGGCATCTACTCAGAGGTCACCAGCCATGCAAAGTGAGAAAACATGGCGACTCATGGGAAAAAGAATAAATCAAGACTAACCTGTGGCTGGTAGGGATGTTAACTGTTAGCAGATACAGAGTTTTTAAATAATTAGCAACTGTATTCTGTTTATTTGAAAATTAAGTAGAGACATGAAAGAGAAAATAATTACAGAGTTGAATACTACAATGTTGCGATTAAAAAAAATATACTACTAAGCCGGGCGGTGGTGGCGCACGCCTTTAATCCTAGCACTCGGGAGGCAGAGGCAGGCGGATCTCTGTGAGTTCGAGGCCAGCCTGGGCTACAGAGTGAGTTCCAGGAAAGG